ATAAGTGAAGAAACGATTGAAGTTGTCAAGGATTTTATCTTGCTTGTATCCATGATCATGGAAGCAGTAGTAAAGAGATCAATTGACATGTTACATTGGGTAACTCTGCCACACAAGACTTCTTTTAAGTGTTGAAAAATAAGGATGTTACTTTGAGGACTAAGATGCGCCTGCTCCAAGCCATGGTGTTCTCAATCACCTTGGATCCATGTGAAAGTTGGGCATTAAATAAGGAAGAGAGAAGAAGGATCCATGCATTTGAATTGTGGTGCTGGAGACTGCCAAAGCACCTTGGACTGCCGAAAGGACAAACGAATGTGACTTGGAAGAAGACCAGCCAGAGTGCTCCTTAGAGGCAAGGACGGCAAGACTTGGTCTCGTGTACTTTGGTTATGTTGTCAGGAGAGACCAGTCCTTGGAGAAGGACTTGTTTGGTAGAGGAGCAGTAAAATGGAGGAAGGCTCTCGATAAGATGGACGGACACAGTGGCTGTATCGATGGGCTCAAACCTAAGAACGATTGTGAGGATGGCACAGGGGCAGGCAGCATGTCCTGCTGTTGTGCAGTGTTTATGGGTCAGCGCCTAAGGACAGCACAGATTAGAACATCTGCAAATAGAGTTTTCCTTCATTTCCAATTTGAATGCCTTTGATTTCCCTTTCTTCCCTTGTGCTTCTCGGACTTCCAATGCAATATCAAGTAAGAAGTGATCAAGGGCATCCTTGTCTGGTTCGGGTTTGCAGGGGGAATGCTTTCAGTCTCTCTTCATTGAGAATAATGTTGGCTGTTGATTTTGTGTATATGCCCTTATTATTTTTTCTTCTATTCCTTATATTACTGGGTGCTTTTATCAGGAATGGGTGTTGACTTTTATTGTAAGCCTTTTCCGCACTGATTTTTATGATCATATGGTTCTTTTCCTTTGTTTTATTTATTTATTGAATTACATTGGCTGCTTTTCTGATGTTGAACCATCCTTATATCCAGTATGAGTTCCCCTTGATCATGATGTATTATTTATTCTTTCATTTTGCTTTTGTTGGATTCTATTGGCTAAGATTTTGTTGAAAAATTTGGTATCAGTGTTCATCAGGATATTTGTCGACAACTTTCTTTTTTAGTGGTGCCTTTGCCTAGTTTGGGTGAGACATTGGGCTGCTAACAATGAGGTCAGCCATTCAAACCCATTGGCTATTTTCTAGGACAGTGGTTCTCAACCTTCCTCATGCCGCGACCCTTGCATACAGTTGTGGTGATCCCCAACCATAAAGTTATTTTCGTTGCTACTTCATTTTGTTATGTCATTTTGTTATGAATCATGTTGTGGTGACCCGCAACCAAAAAATTATTTTTGCTGCTACTTCATAACTGTTGAGTTAGTTAATTGTGCCAACCTGGCCGATAATCACATGTGGGGCTAATTGAAAGGCAGAGGGATAAATGGATGGTGAGCGTTGCCTTTCTAGTTCTCGGGTCTCTTGCTTTGTGATGGTCGCACCAGGGTGCAGCTGCCTTAGCAGTTCCCTGCTTCAGCTTGCAAGATTAACTTCCTACAAGACATCCCCAAGGAGAAGCCACATGGACCTATCCCAATGCAGCCCTGGGTGCTGGAGCAGCCGTATGGAGACCCCTGCTAGTGCTGAGATGCTTATTCGTTCACTGACTCAGCTTTCCTCCTGCAGTCGGCATCATTGCCTCTGTTTTGTGAGGTGAAGGACTTTGTAGACTGGTGTTGGGTTAATGGGTTAATGTTGGACTTGTGGGCTTGGGCAGCATTGGGTTGGGATGTTTTCGTGATGCACATTTTCTTTGCATAAAACTCTCTCTTATACGTGAGTTGCTGTGGAATTGTTTCTCCAAAGTACCCAGACTAATACAACTGTCATTTTGTTATGAATCATAATCTAAATATCTGATATGCAGGATGTATTTTCATTGTTACAAATTGAACATAATGAAAGCATAGTGATTAATCACAAAACAATATGTAATTATGGATTGTGAAATTTTTTTTATAATGACAAATAAATGAAATGTTGTCTTGAAGCATGGGTGTAGCCTGGGTAGCAGTCTTCAGGCCGGGTCCTCGATTGTGGGCGTATCTGCATGTGGGCGGAGCCGCCTGGAGACTGGAGACGAGGAGCGCGGGCTGCTCAAGTCGCCTATCTCCTGTGACAGTGGGCAGGTAGTGTGTCTAGGAAAATATCCACTTCTTCTGGCTTTTCAAACTTACCTGAGTCCAGTTCTTCATAGTATTGTGTTATAATCCTTTTTACTTCATCTGGTTATGTTGGAAAATCATCCATTTTATTTCTTATCCATTTTTATTTGCTTCTTATGTTAAATTTGCGAATGGTTTGCTACTTTGTTCATCTTTTCTGGTCATTGATTCTTTCTATTGTTTTTGCAGGAATTTCTGTTTCATTTATTTCTGCTTCCATCTGTATTATTGTCTTTCTTCTAGTGGCTGTAGATTGTTTTTTTCTTTTTCTGCTCTACTTTTACTTGTTGGAGATGTGGGGTAAAGTATCGCTTTTGGTTCTCCATTCCTGATGGGTCTGTTTATTGCTGTAGATTGTACTCTAGCTCTGCTTTTGCAGTGATACATTGAATTCATGGTGGTCGTAGCCTCTGGAGGAGTGGCTGAGGGGACTGGATTGACAAGGGGGACAAAGGAGAAGCCAACTTCATTCTGTCGTTTCCTTTATTTTTATTTATTTATTTATTTATTTATTTCCGTTTCCTTTATTTAAAGAGCACCAATGTGACAGAATGTTAGCGTCTGTTAGTTCTGGGTGACAGCTCCTGGGGTGTTGGTTATATTATTCTTTGTAATATTCACTGTGTTTAATTTCTGAAATTGAAAAAGTAAACAGAGTTGAGACATTATTATTCATTATTTAGTCTTAGATTTAGTTGTTATTTAAATCTATGATGTCTCTGTTTGTATAAGCATAACTAAGATAGTTAAGTTTTGCCTGCGTACACAAAATATGCTTGGTTTGTTTATTCAAACGTGGCCTTTATACAAAATTATGAGGAGTGCCAGTCATGAGGCTTCACAGTTTTACACACAGTAAGTACCGTTTCCCCGAAAATAAGACAGTGTCTTATATTAATTTTTGCTCCTAAAGATGCGATGGGTCTTATTTTCAAGGAATATCTTATTTTTTCATGAAGAAGAATACGGTACACATTTATTGTTGAACCAAAAAAAGGAAATGTATTACCTGTATACTGTATGGTAGTAGTCGTCATCACAGACCAGCATAACCAGACAAACTGTGAATCCTACTGTATCAACAATTTCTTGTTACTACCATTATATCCATGTACAACAATCTATGGTACATTTACTCACACTTCCTGTCTGTTCCAGCTGCGCTGCGGCCAACAGTGAGCTGCATGGCAGTGCCTGCCGCTATGGTCCAGAGTCACGGTAGCTTCAGGGAGCCTTATTATCAGGGAGGCCTTATTTTCAGGGCGGTCTTATTTTGGGGGGAATGCCTTATATTTCAGTGAGAGGCAAAACTAAGTAGGTCTTTTTTTCGGGGGAACATGGTATATGAAGAACGCACTTCCCGTGATAGACATCTGCGCTCACCGCAGCCACTGAAAGCATCCCTTTGTACTGGAGCAAAAATGCATACAGACAGACAGACAGCAAAGTCAAAACGATTTTCCTCACTGTGACCAAGATGTGTCGGTTCATGATTGTTAAAACTGAAGTTGGCTTGATGGCTGTGGCGTGGCTCTGCTATATGTTCTGTCGAAAGGCTGACCGAAGATGGGTCTCGTCCTGTAGCACCTGTCAGCGCATCCTTGCACCTGGGCCTCGGAGCGAAGGGGCGTGGAGGTCCTGCTCTGCGGGTAGGGGGCGCTCTCAGAGTCCCTGAGTGCGCATGCGCAGGCGGAGGGGCCACCCCCTGGCTGGTGTGTGTGTGCTCAACCAATGCAGTACGCAGTACTTTTGGAGCTGGTGCTCTAGCGACATTTTGACGTGCTCGTCAGGTGGTTGCTGTAAGATAAATGCGGACTTAAAACAGACTAAATGTTGTATAGGCAGGCCTTAGGCAGAGGACGAGGAGGAGAACTTTCGAGTCTTGCTCGGCCTTGTTCATAGTACCTCACGCTCCGCTGGCGCACAGAGGAGCGAGTTGTCGAAAGGAAAGAACTGCGCATGCTCCTTAGCATCTTTCCTGCGGCAGGTTTGAAGCCATCTCGTTCCCATAGATCAACAACAAGGCAAGATTTTTGGCCTCTGGTACTTGGCCTCCACCTCTCAACTGCCTCCAAACTCTAGAGGGGAAAAGGAATGTGTGTTATTTATTGCTCGCCTCAAAAACTTTATGATCAATGAATGCAAGATCTGAAAATAATATAATTAATGCAAGTCTTATTCCAACCACTACTTTGGGCACCAAATTTATTCTTATAAGAGGTCCCCAGTCTGAACAGTGAATTGAGTTTGCTCACTTACTTTTAAGTTTCATAAATGTAGTTCTACAAAATGTATTTATGTACTATTTTTCATGGCATGCTTGGAAGCTCATATTTTGAGATAGACCCAATTACAGTGCACATTGTATAACTTATTACATTAGCTACACGGGGACTGGTGCATGCAGACAATGTGTTTATTTAAGCGGAACGTACCTGACCAGCAAAACAAGACCAAGAAAGCCCCTCCTGCTGTAACAGAACACGGTGCTGCTTGTGGCCAGCTGCATGCTGGCAGAGAGCAGGGATTTTAGGGATGAATTAGTGTTCTAATCTCTTTGGGATTTCCTTTATATTTGTGGTGGTTTCTGACTGACATTGAATGTAACTAGAGCTTTCTGTTTATATTTAATATAAGGTCCATTTCTGTGGTCGGATAGACATTTGCACTCCAGTGTTGACTAAAAGCTACTGTTCTGCAAGAAGGATATAAAAATGCTGATTTATAAGGACACATTCCAATAATAGCGATCTAATTCTTCCAAACTATTTCTTCTCAGGTCCTGGGCCCAGCAGGGCTCCAGCAAAGGATGATTCTTCTTTTCCAGAATACTCAGCCTTCAACACATCTTTCCATGCTGCAATCAGACACAGAAACTGGAAACTCCTGACAGGCTACCCAGGTAGTAGAAGGCTTGGCTTAGCCAACTCCCCTCTCCTAGCAGACAGGCAGGCTAGGCCCTCTGAGCAATACCATAACTCTCTGCTTGCCCCTGGGTCTCTGTTCCCTTGGCCATTTGTCTGGAAAGTGAGGGCATGGTTACCCTTGCTGCAGTTGCTTCCCATCTCCTGTTCTCTCTGCCCACATCCCTCCTTCACCTGACTCCTCAATACTCCTGCCCACATCCCTCCTTCACCTGACTCCTCAATACTCCTAAGCCCTGCCACTCCCCAATTCCTCTCAGACATGGGAAATAGACGTTCTCGATAAAGTCATCCATGGGCGTATGTGTCACAAGAAGCCACCACTCTGTTTCTATGTTTAAGACCCTAATCCTCCTTGAAGTCAGAGCCTGCCTAGGATGTTCCTCTCCCAATAACCTGTTTTATGTCTTTGCCAGGATGTGGCTACTGGTTCCCACCACCTTCTCAATCTAATGTTTCTGAGATACCTCCACCGGACCCACCCACCAAAACGCTCTGGCTCTTTGATATCGATCAAGACCCTGAAGAAAGACATGACCTGTCCAAGGAATACCCCCATATCACCAAGCAGCTCCTCTCCCGGCTGCAGTTCTACCACAAGCACTCGGTGCCCGTGTACTACCCTGCACAGGACCCCCATTGTGACCCAGCGGCCACTGGGGCATGGGGCCCATGGATGTAGGCTTTCGGGCATTTGGGGGGGCGGTGTTGGGGGGAGTGCATTAGAAAATCTTTTTCTTGCAAGTTGGATTTCAGGCCTTCATTCACGTGACTCCCTCTCCTTAGTATTCCCAACCTGGGTTCACCTGACCCTTCACTTATTCCTAAACCGTGTCAAGGTTTGATGAACTCACGCCAGCCTGCTCTTGGCTAGGGTGTATGTGCAGAGGAGACAGTGGCTGGGTTCATCCTCGTTTTCTGGAGCTGTAGGATAGCTGGGAACTCCACTTGAAACGGAAAGTTCTAACATGGAATCCCGGAGCCTGGATGCGCTGCCCCCTGTTGTCTCACAAGTCAAGGAGGACTCCCTTCTGCCAGTGGCTGGGGCGACTCGCGTGGCTTGTAACAAGTGAAGGGATGCGCCCACGGGGAGTGCTCTGCTGCCCGTGGTCTCCCTGCCTGTGAGAGAGCGTGTCCAGGCCTGCCCTGGGGATAAACGCTCCCCATGCTCCTGAGTCTCGGCCCCTGCCGCCATCGTTCAGAAGGCCCATTGCATTGTTAGAATCCGCATGGAAAAGCTTGTGCCCCAGTATTAATTTTTACAATAAATAAGTGTTTGTGTCAGTTCTTAATTGGCACCCCCTCCCCAAAACATTGCTCATTTTGGTTAGACTTCTTACCACCCCTAACCACCTGTGCCTCTTTTCCTACCCTCCTCTCTGACCCAGGTGCCCGTGCCCAGAAGGGTTGCTGGGCTGCCCACCTTGACTTGTGCTCGTTTTCACAACACTGCTGGGCTCCTCCTGCCTTTGCCCCGCCAGCAAACCATGAGATTGTGGCCCGAACTCTGTTGGGGAAGCTGGCCCCCTGCCCGTGGGTGGTAGTTGACTCTGGCTCTTTGAGAATGTTCATGGTGGCACAGAGGGGCCTGGCCCTTTGTGTCATTGTTCAGTGAGGTTGTTTATCTAAGCAGCATGGAGTCCATAGCATGATTGGGGCTTCCTGTCAGAAAAGATTGGGCGTAGCTGTTACTCCCTAGCTGTAAGAAGAACCCCAGAAAATGATGTCCTGTGATGGTGGAAGTGGGTAGGTAAGGCCTTCGCCTTGGGTCGTGATGTTTATGAGGAAGAGTGGGGGGAGGGGGGGTGTATAGGCAAAGGAGGACACATCCACATTTTGCTTTCTCCCTGAGTTTCTTGTTCATATTGAGATTCCCGTGGTGCCAGTGGGGTGGGGGTGGGGCGTGCAGGAGATGAAGATGCAGAGTTTGAGCTACCAGTCCTTTCTCAGTGGGAGAGGGCCACGTCAGAACATGAAGCGATCGAGATTCGCTCCCGCAAGCATCCGCCGCACAGAGACAGACATGCAACGATGCATACGCAGCTCTTTATCCACTGTTCATCCCCAATGCCCAGAGCAGCATCTGCTACGTAAAGGCCCTCAGTGCCACTTTTGCTTTGTTTTTAATAAACGAGTGGACAAGTGACCAAATGAGACATTCTCATAGCATGAAACATGCTAGGCCAGTGAGCCGAAGGAGGCCGACGACAGTGTCCTCCACCTGTCGCTTTGCGGTCAGGAAGCCACCCTCCTGGTAAGGACGAGAGTCTGCACAGCCGGCGAATGGACAGGTTTGTTCTGGAAGCAGCACAGCCGAATGCTCCTTAGACGAAAGTAGGGTGGGACCTGGGGTAATGGACGGGGACATATTATCAAGAGGGATCTGCCCCCGGAGCAGGGCCTCATGTTTGGGAAAGTTGGGGGTCAGCAAAAAAACACGTGGGAATGCTGGCAAGGGGATGGATTAATACAGTGACTAACAATGGGCTCAAATAAAGCAGCGCATGTGAGGACGGCCAGTACTGGGCAGTGTTTCACTCTTATGCATAGGGTCACTAGGAATTGGAACCAACTCGGCGGCACCAGAACAATAACCTTTAACTGTTTTTTTAAATCATGCATGCTGGATGGAAATGGTGCTAGAGCTAATGAAATCTATTTGACCCATCCTGTCCTAGGTTGGCAAACACCTGGCTGAAATGCTACCACCTGTCACTCCTAAACCTGTGGCAGGTCCTATAAACTCACTGAGCCAAGAGCTCACTCTGGATCTTTCTGGTCATGTGGCTACAGGTAGCCATTAGTATTACTGGAGGCCATCACCACATGACACTTGCTCTCCCCGCTGTACCCCAGCAATTGTCCCCAGCGTTAGTCTCTTGATAGTCACAAATGACTCCAATGATCTGGACTCAAGGGACTTAAAAGAAGTTTCAAAAACTCTGTTTCTGGTATAAATAAATAAATGAAATTCTTTTGAGAGTTTAATCCGTGTCTCATTAGATCTTATTCTACACAAGAATGTGAAAATGTTCATATTCTCATTAGAATGTTATTTCTTCTTGAGTTCATTTGCCTTTAAATAAAATTTTGTCTATTTAATTAAGGAATGGTTCATTTTTATTTTTGTATTGTTACTGCATGATTACTCCAAATTTTAGGGGACAAAATAAAGTTCAATTCATCTTTTAAAATGTGTTGGCCAACTTGGTTGCATGTGTATTATACCACTCATTAAAATGGGTAAATAAGTAAACTACTATAATGAAAATTTAATAACAAAATAAAGATCTGTCAGTCATTGGCCTAAGAATACAAATTATAAAATATGAGAGGGAGAAGCCAAGGGAAAGTAGAAGTGAAAATAAATATTCTGTCTATTACTACATAACAAATGACCTGTCATAGATTGAATTGTTTCCCCAAAATATGTGTCAGCTTGCCAAGGCCAGGATTCCCAGTATTGTGTGATTATCCTCCATTTTGTGATGTGTTCAAATCCTAATGTCTCTCTACAGTTAATGAGGCAGGATTAGGTTATGCTAAAGGAGGGTTGAATTATGCTTGTTATGTTAATGAGGAAGAATGAGGGCGGTTGGCATCTCCCATACTCACCACCCTGACTGAGTTCACAGCCCTGATCTAAGAAGGGAGTGGCTCACAGGAGATCAAAGGGGAGACAACCAAGCAGAGAGAGAGAGAGATCTCACCACCACCCAGAAAAAAAGGGTGAGGAGTGGAGAACATCCTTTGGCTCTGATGCTCCTAGCCTCAGGGGGAAATTGATATCAAGATACCGTATATACTCGTGTATAAGCCGAGTGTTTCAGCACATTTTTAATGCAGTTTTTGTGGTAAATTTAGGTGCCTCGGCTGATATTTGCATTGACTTACACTCGAGTGTATACGGTACATAGAAATCTCCGAGGAATACCGGCTAACAGATCTAGAAAAGAGCCAAGAACCTTCCCTGAGAGCTGGCACTCTGAATTCAGATTTTCAGCCTCCTAAACTATGAGAGAATAACACCTTGAACCAAGGTGTTAGAACTATTCAATTGGGGTTTTTCTGTTATAGTATTGCTACCTCACTCAGATATGGCCAAAAATTTAGCAGCTTCAACAACAAACTTATTATGTCACAATAAACGTTTAAGTCACACAATTTATGATTTTTATCTTATAGCTCAGTACAAAATACTTTAAAACAGAAGCAAAAACCATTGGCCTTCGAGCAAAGGGAACTAACATTTATTTCAACTGGTGTAATAGGTGTGTATTCAGCTGGGTTGACTAGAGAAACCAGTCTGAGACATTCAGGTATGAGGAAGAGAGAGCTTTATATCAAGAAGAATTATAGATGGGAAAGCAGCCCAGCCCAGTCCAGATCAAGTCCATAAGTCTGATACTAATCCATAAGTCCGATATTAGTCCATAAATCCTTTTACAGACTCATGCAGCTATATGCAATGATGCAGAATGTAGGAAGATCACAGGCCAGTGGGTGCGAAGTTGTGTGGATCAATGGTGGTGGACACATCTCCAGGGGTCTGGCAGGTCTCCAAGTGGCTTGCCAGCAGGAAGGTGAAGCAAAGAGCAAGGGAGGTTCCCAGGACCCTCCTTATGAGAATGCTACACACACAGGAGGGATCAGTCAGGCTGCGACCTGATTGACAGGCTAACTCCTTCACTCTTATACCTTCAAGCTGACACGAGACTATGTAACTACCACTAGGTGTTACCAAACTATGGTTGTGAAAGTACACACATTTGTAAATAAGACATGTTAAATGCTCAAGGGAAATTACCTTGTGGAAGAAATCCTTTTATGAATCATTGAAATGCAAAAGCTTATCCACTAAGTTAGGTTTCCAAAGTTGGCAATTTGCCACCAAGCGTTTTTCTAAAGGTCTCATACTCATGTACACGATTCTCCCCAATTGTGTATTTAGAAAATTCCAGTCAGTATAAAATATATTGAAATCTTGTTATCCTTCCCAGTCACAACTCAATTTTCAAAGGAGAAATTAGCTAACGTTATGTCAACCGGTCCATTTCCAAACCAGTCTTACCATGGGCCATCCACATCCACATCAGCAAGTGGGTTCAAATGAACTACTTCACTGTCTGTCTCACCAGTGGAGCCTTGCTGCCCGGGGAGCCATCCATCAGAATGTTATGAAGCTAAACAGGAGAAATTGACTCACAGTTTACTGAGTCTGGTCTCAAGAACCTGGAGAAACACTTTAATTCTCAAACCAATTCCCCAGATAGCTAATCATTGGATTAGGGCCCGTTTATTTACTAATCTTTGCTCGTCTCCTGTTGCTCTATCCGTGATTCCACAAGCAGATGGCTTCAACGTTACCCTCACAGTGGAGGAGTCCAGAAGTCGGAGTTAGGAGCACCAGCTCTAAGGGAAAGTCTCTCTCTGTAAGCGCTAGGAAGAGTCTTTGTCGCCTTTTCATGTTTCTGAGCAAGCCCACGGTTCCTTGGAGTTCTCCAGGTGTCTTTCATCAGTATTCTCCAAGGATGCCCTCTGCCCCTGGCTTTTCCTTCTTCTTGGTGTGTTAGGCCTGGTTGTCTAGAGAAACAAATCCAGC